TGATATGAAATGTGTGATAGGAAAAATTTCAAAGGTAACCTTTCTGATAAAACTCTTCCAGGTGAGTTGGTATGCTTTCTTGTAATACGCAGAAAAAAATGAAGAAGAAAAAAAATGCTTTCTTTGAAAGGTTACATTCTCGTAAAGGAATAATCAAAAAAAAAAAAAAATGAACGTTTTTACAACCGGCATCTACTCATATATTTGTTCTTTCTTTTAATATGTCTCCTTTTTTTCCGGTACTAACGGTCGACTTTCTCCTTCAGCTTTGACATAACGTTATTTCGTTCTTAACTGATGCCGCCTAACATTCACATATTTGCAATTGGTGTCCCATCAACACAGAAGGCACGATGGAGCCTTTCATACAATTTTACGTACGCGCACTTAAAAAAAGTCACGGAGTTTCTGATATTGACATTTGTAATAGATATGTTAATGGTAATATTAGCTGTTTCCTTATAAGGAAACATTTGACAAGCATTGACGGAAAAGCTGGTGCTACTCGAGTTTGGTTTTTCTTTACTCACTGGCTATCGGACTGGGATTAAAGCCGATGTAGTTTGGTTTGTTTTTTTTACGGCATGTCAACCTCAGTGGGTTATTTAATGCCGACAAGATTTTTATTGCTTATAATATTCATTCCAAAAATGTATTCCTGGTAATAGTTTTTTCCTCAAAAATGTATTGCTGATAATATTTTTCTTCGAAAATAGTAGTATTTTTTTTCCAAAAATGTATTGCATGTAATTATTTTTTCCAAAAATGTATTGCATGTAATCATTTTTTTCCAAAAATCTATTGCATGTAATCATTTTTCCCAAAAATTTATTGCATGTAATCATTTTTTCCAAAAATGTATTACTGGTTATATTTTTTTTCCTCATAAATGTATTGCTAGTAATATTTTTTCTTCAAAAATAGTAGTATTTTTTTCCGAAAAATGTATTGCATTTAATCATTTTTTCCAAAAACGTATTGCATGTAATTTTTTTTTTTTTTTGTCAAAAATGTATTGCTGGTAATATTTTTCATCAAAAATAGAAGTATTTTTTTTTCCCAAAAATGTATTGCAGGTAATCATTTTTTTTTTCAAAAATGTATTGCTCGTAATATCTTTTTCCTCAAAAATGTATTGCTGGTAATATTTTTCATCAAAAATAGAAGTATTTTTTTTGAAAAAATGTCTTAAAATTTTTTTTTGTAAAATCATTTTTTTTTTTAAATGTATTGCTCGTAATATTTTTTTCCTCAAAAATGTAGATTGGTAATATTTTTCTTTAAAAATATTATGTATTGCTATTTTTTTCTTTAAAAATATTAGTATTTTTTTTCCAAAAATGTAATCATTTTTTTCAAAAATATATTTCTGGTAATATTTTTTTCCTCATATATATATTGCTGGTAATATTTTTTCTTCAAAAATAGTAGTATTTTTTAGGAAAATGTATTGCATGTAATCATTTTTTTTCAAACAATTTATTGCTGGTAATACTTTTTTTCTTAAAAAATGTATTGATGGTAATATTTTTCTCTTCAAAAATGTATTGCAGGTAGTATTTTTCCAAAATATATATTGCTTGTAGTATTTTTTTTCACAAATGTATTGCTTGTAAATTTTTTTTCCAAAAAATGTATTGCTGGCAATCATTTTTTCTTCAAAAATGTATTGCTGGTAATATTTTTTTTTTAAATGTATTGCTGATAATATTTTTTCTTAAAAATATATTGCTTGTATAATTTTTTTTCGAAAAATGTATTCATTGTAATATTTTCGTTCAAAAGTATATTGCTGGTAATAGTTTTTTTTTTCAAAAATTCATTGCCTGTAATATTGTTTTCCTTTCAAAAATTCATTGCCGGTAATATTTTTACAAAAATGTATTCCTGGTATTAAAACCAATTTTTACACTTTCATAGTGTTTTGATCCCAGTTTGGACCCTAACAGGTGCTACCACCCAGGGTCATAGTGGACCTGGAAACACCAGCAATTAAGAGGAGGTTTCACGCTTCTCAAAACCTGCTGTTGGATGTAGTTTATCATCTTACCAAGGACGCGGAGGTAGTTTATCGTCATACCCAGGACGCGGGTGTAGTTTATAGTCTTACCCAGGACACGGATGTAGTTTATTTTCATACCCGGGACGAAAGATTAAATCTGTGTATATGTTCTCTTCATCTCATGTAGTGATGGTAATAGTATCCGTTTAATTACATGTATGTATAGCTGGCCTCTCGTATTCGCTGACATCCGTCTACTAGGACGGCTTAGACAATCCCTATTAGAGACGCTTGCTCAGGCGCATGTGTTTATTCAACACCCACAGAGCCTACCTATGGTTTATACCGCAACTATGCTAATCAGATGTTAGTTACAGTTTCTGGGAAAGAGCATGTTACCTAGCGTGATCAACAATTTGAACAAGGCCAGCACTCTGAAGCCCTCAGCCACGATGACTTGTGACTTCGAGCTAGCACAGCTATCGACGGCACGCTATTCGTTTAATTATAATGAAAGATTCGACATTCATTGATGAAACAGCCAGAGGTACTTGAGTTAAGATTTTCTTTGTTCTCTGGCTTTCTGGCTGAGATAGTATCTGCCTTTGGGCGGAAAAAATGCATTTTTTAAAATCGTGTTCAACCAAGCAAGGCAATAAAGCCACTAAGATACAAGGGGTTACTGGGTGTTGGAGTATTAGAAAACAGAAACATTTCCAAAGAACAAGAACAATAAAAGAATAATCAAGAAGACAGTAGATAGCGATTGACATTGCATTTACATTTTTGAAGGTTGAAGCTGAGTGGAAAGCGTGGAGCAGTAAAAGAGTTCCACAAGTGAGAAGTGAGAGAAAAGAAACTGTTAGCATAGAACTTACAGTTATATCTAGCCAACTCAACTCTAAGTTGGTGAGACTGCATCGCTAGTCTGGTACTGCGATAAAATGCATATAGTCTTGGTACCATAGCGAAAAGCTCATTCAAACAATTACCATGAAATTATTTGCAGAAAAGGCAGAGGGAAGTAACGTCACGGCGGTGGGAAAGAAACTGAAACCGAATTGCCAGATCATGACCAATAATATTGCTGATTTTATCTCTCAAATCCGTGTTTGTCTTCGGACAGAGCGCAACTGAAAATATTATTGTGAGGTACCCCGTCTCCGGAATAGTTGCCCGCAGCAGTACCCTCCTCATTACCCTAAAGAGGTGAAATCGATATTAATACCGATGCCACCTCAACCAACGGCTGCGGGGACCGGGTTAATTTGGGAGGTGTCAGGGTGCCCGCCCTCGGGCTCCCCACATTAAACTTACCTTCTCTCAAAGAGTGGGGAGGCAAGTAAATGCCAAGTGTAGTATCTGTCTTCTGATGGACAACTTACATTTTATCTCTCAGTTTTCTATCTTCGGACAGAACACGCAAAAAATATAATCGAGTGATGGCTCGTCCCTGGGGTTCCATCCCTGCATCAGTACCTCCCTTATTGCACCAAACAGGAACGGTCGGTGGAATGTTGGCGCCGTGGCGACGTTGCTTGCGTGAACTCAGTATTGTTTTTTTTTTTACAAAAAGCTACAAGCTATTCTCTTCTCCAAATCTTTTATCAGTTTTAACTTTTATTTCAACCTGTATCGCACATCTGAACTCATTCACTTCGCGCAGTTATCAATTAGCTGTGAAGAGGACGAGCTAAATATGGTCTATTTACTTCACATCTTCGCCACACCGCCATTTTCCAGTTACTCTCCAATGTAATCCATTTTCTCGGACAGGCTATCAGATCGGCGTGACTCTGATTAACCAAGATTTATCATGCGTTAACGGGTAAGTTCTGATCTCGTACAAGCAGCTCAATCTTGTACCTCCGAGATTTGGCGTGATCTAATCAGGACATCCAATCAGCGTTGTACTACCTTAGTTGTGGGTTTAAACGTCTGTATTCAAGAAAGATAAGATTACTCTTCTTTTCGTTATACACAAAGGTTACATGTTTCAGTAACGAAGTCTAGTTATTTGCGATTGTCTCTATCTTATCAATATTAATGTCTTTCGAACGGAACCGAAGCAATGCGTGAAATATGCTTTCTAACCCTGGACGGTTTCAAACACTAGCCGCCGATGCATATTTATTACAAAGCCGTGACTCGGAATTAAATGCCTGCTTTGAAAACGGGTCGCATTTAGATGAAGAAATTGCCCATTTCCATCTATTAGCACCAACCAGAGTAGATTAGTTTGAATTCAAATTACGACGGAATTTTCTACCATTAAATATCTGTAAACTAAACAGACGTTGCTTTCAGTACTCACTAGTGCCGTAGGGAAAGATACATTTCCCCGTTAGCTATGGGTAAATTGCTGGACAGTTGAAGTCGGTTAATCTTGTTAGGTAATTCATTTTGGTTTGGTTCGTTTAGTTCTAGTGCATATCAATCTCAATGGCTTATTTAATGCCGACAAGATTTTTATTGCTGGTATTATTAAAAACAAAAAAAAAATGTATTCCTGGTAATTTTTTTTCCAAATACGCATTGCTGGTCCTAAATTATTGCTAGTAACACTTTTTCAAATAATCTACTGTTCGTATCATAGCCTATTTTTAAGCTTTCATATTGTTTTAATCCCATTTTTGCCCATTGCTAGGACCCTAACAGGTGCTACTACACCGAGTCAGGGTGGACCTGGGAACACCACTAATTCCACGCTTTTCAAAACCTACTGATCTTGCTGCCCGATGTAGTTTATCGTCAAACCTGGT